CCAGCCCCAGAAGTCCTTACCCACAACCACAAACTCAGAGTTTGTGGATGAAAACCCTCCCCACCGAGACACGGCACCTGCCTCTCGGACAAGGCGGGTCTCCTCTCATCAGTGACTAAGGCAGCCATGGAGACCAAGGCCCAAGCTTCTCCTGGGATCTCTGCCCTCAGACAGCCAGGTACAGATCTCTATCCACCCTCGCCCTGTGATTCCAAATTCTACTGTAAACATGGACTCGAGAAAGGCACCAAACTGAAATTCCTTTCTATCACAAATAGCAGGCAAATATGTTCCAAGTGGTTTCTGAAATCAGCTGTGCACTCTTCTTCAAAGTTTTAAATATTTCCATACCCTTTTGAAATTCCTAGTGATTGATACAGGTTTTTAATTCTATTATTACTGCTCATGTCACATTTTCGCCTGATTTCCAGGCTTTTGTGGTATCCTTGATTGTGAAGTCATTTGATTTTATCTTTTATTGAGGGTCTTAGAGTTTAGCAAAATGTTGAAATGATTCATCAGTCATAATAAAAGACTTCAAAGGGATCCAAGTTGAACTTCAGGATTCTGAAGAGCATACGGGACAGTCGACTTCTTGTATTTCAACCTCAGGACAACGAGCCCAGCAGAGGATTTTGCTAAAAGACCTAATGAGTATGTTAGTCACATCTAAAAATCATCTGCTATCCACATGTTCACAAGCCACGTGTATCCACCCAGAGTATGCATTTCATCTGGACGTAGCACGATGTGTTTTAGGGTATTCATTTCAGCAATCCACTCCCTGAGCACCAGAGGTCACTGCGAAAGGAAAATAAGGTAAATTCTCTAGGGTGTGAGCAGAGCTCAGCCAAATCCAGAGACACCGCGCACAGCTCGGGGCGCCAGCCGTCCCCATGGGCTTCAGTCTGAAATACGAAGTTGAAATCCATCAAATGATTGGTTTTAAGGCAGCAGCTCAGAAACATTTTTCAAACCTCCTTAAATAGATTCAGTCATACGTTTTCCAAGTAGCTTAAGTGTGAGCATTGAACAATAAGAAGACAAAAGATAGTATTTTACAATACTGATAATGACCTTTTTGTTAAACTGTTTAGTAGCGTGTTAAGTCTTTGACCATAATGTAAATAAAAATATATTATCTCAAAAATTAAAAAAAAAAGAAATGGTAGTGATGATTGCAGAAGGAACAGACTGCCAAAACTAAAGAACTCTCTTTTTGAAATCGGCACCCGCATGACACGGTTTTCTCATTACTTACAGTGGAATTAAGTGAGCGGCTACTATGTGAAAGGACTGAGGAGCACAAACAGCAATGAGGCATCTCTCTACAGTGTCCAGAAGAAAAGAGAAACCTAACGGCTCACAGGCTGGCCAGATGGGGATCCGCAGCAGCATAGGGGTGCGAGTGGCATGGAAACTGCAAAGGAAGCCGGCGCCGCGGCTCACTAGGCTAATCCTCCGCCTTGCGGCGCCGGCACACCGGGTTCTAGTCCCGGTCGGGGCGCTGGATTCTGTCCCGGTTGCCCCTCTTCCAGTCCAGCTCTCTGCTGTGGCCAGGGAGTGCAGTGGAGGATGGCCCAAGTCCTTGGGCCCTGCACCCCCTAGGAAACCAGGAGAAGTACCTGGCTCCTGCCATCGGATCAGCGCGGTGCGCCGGCCGCAGCACGCTGGCCGCGGCGGCCATTGGAGGGTGAACCAACGGCAAAGGAAGACCTTTCTCTTTGTCTCTCTCTCTCTCACTGTCCACCCTGCCTGTCAAAAAATAAAAATAAAAAAAAGAAACTGCAAAGGAAAGCGCACCGCACTCCCTCCGCTGGAATCAGGAGGCTCTTCATGGGGAGGCCCCTTTAAATGAGCTCTTCAAAGGTAAGCAGGGTGGCAATGCCCAGGAAGAAGGCCACAGGTGAAAGGCACAAGAGGGGACAGCACATCTTGGAGGTCACTGGCAGCCTGGGGAACTGGAAGTTCAGGTGTCTGGGGTATGACAGCACCTGCCACAAAACATTGGGGTGCAACTGCCAAGGGCACCAAATGCCATACTGGGACGTGACGATGTCTCTCTGCAGGAAATGGGTCCAGGGAAGGTTTTGAACAAAGTGCCTTAGAAAGGGGAACCGGAGGCAAACCAAGGGACAGTGTGAAAGCCAGAGTAAGAAAGAAAGACTTGCTGAGAAAGGAGCGCGATGGTTCCCGTGAGAACCGGGTGGGCTTGTGCAGATGATGGGGAGACAGGAACAAGACGAGGAGGCTCAGTTCCACAGTGAGTCAGCATTCGGTAAGAGATGGCTTCGAGGGAGCAAGGATGACACAGCTTTCTAAGTGGGACAAGTAGAGAGAGAGGGATGCAACCAAGGAAGACAGAACACACAAGAGAAAGTCAGTGAGATGAGAAAACCCAAGCAAAGCCACTCAGAGCCCATCCCAAGCGGTGAGAAAAGAGGGCGGTGGCAACATGTGGGCTGCCACGGCAGGAACGGCGAGGGGGGGAGTGTGAGAGTCAGGAGCGAAATCGATGGCATCCGATGACTGCTTGGCTGGAGAGGATAAGGGAGTCGGGGATATCGAGAGAGTCGCTCAGATTTCAAGCTTAAGTGACCCCTGGGGTGTTATCCCCACATTTGAAATGGAGAATAGACGTGGGTGAGACAGATTGAGGACAGATGACTGATGGCATTTTGACTATTCTGAGCTTACGGTACCCAGAAGGCAGAGAGGCTGCAGTCTCCCTGGAGACAGAGGGGCAGTACTGAGCCTATAGAAATAGAAGCCTGGAATAAAGATGAAGACTTGGGCTGGGAGGGAGGCTTCTAGTCTAGGGACTGAGATGCTGGTTACGCTGTGCCCGCCTCCCAAGGGGCAGTGCCTGGATTTAGTCCCTGGTTCCAGCTCCTGACTTCAACTTCCCGCTGATGCACACCCTGGGAGGCAGCAGTGACGGCTTAACTAGGTGGCTCCCAGACACTCACGTGGGAGACCTGGATGGAACTCCTGGCTCCCAGCTTCAGGGTGGCCCAGTCTCAGCCCTTGTGAGTATTTGGGGAGTGAACAAACAGATGGAAGCACTCTCTGTCTTTGTCTTTTTTTTTTTCTCCCTGCCTCTCAACAAAATAAAAATAAAGTTACTTTTATTTTTAAAGTATAAGGGACATCACCATTTAGGCAAAATATAAAACCATGTGTAACAGTGTCTCTCTGGGAGAACAAAGAACAAAGCCCAGAGTACCTTTTTCAGACTAAACAACCAAACACTTGAACCCCATTTAGATTAGAAGAGAAATAACAATCAGATTCTAGCATAAGACGAGATATTAAAAACAAAATAGAAGGCCAGCGCCGCGGCTCACTAGGCTAATCCTCCACCTTGCAGTGCCAGCACACTGGGTTCTAGTCCCAGTCGGGGCACCGGATTCTGTCCCGGTTGCCCCTCTTCCAGGCCAGCTCTCTGCTGTGGCCCGGGAGTGCAGTGGAGGATGGCCCAAGTGCTTGGGCCCTGCACCCCATGGGAGACCAGGAAAAGCACCTGGCTCCTGGCTTTGGATCAGTGTGATGCGCCGGCCGCAGCACGCTGGCTGCGGCGGCCATTGGAGGGTGAACCAACCAACGGCAAAGGAAGACCTTTCTCTCTGTCTCTCTCTCTCACTGTCCACTCTGCCTGTCAAAAAAAAAAAAAAAAGAAATGAAAAAGGAAAAAGAAAAACAAAATAGAAATGGCAGTGGCAGTAGAGGACAATGCACAGACTTGGTCTCTGGCACACCGCTTACTCTGCCACTGACAAATTTAATCATAAGATTGAACAAACACTGCCCTTTTCATTAGAGTCATTTATTCCCCCCTAGCAATGGAGATGCCTTCTAATGATCGCAGGGATAACTGGAGTGACGCTTCCCACTGTCCCTACCCAAGTTCCAGTTCAATCAATGCTTCACACGCCGCACATTCCAGTGGCAGAGAGCGACCTGAGCAGAAATGCCATTCGTAGAACAGACTGGAAAACATCTACTCAGTGCTCTATCTGAAAACGAGAGGATCTTGATCCCAGGATCTTATTAATAAACAGTCCGGAGTTTTATCAGCAAAACCCTCACCTTTGGGAAACGAAGACGTCTTTTTTCACAGAGCTGGAGAAATAGCCCCAGGCTGTTGCCGTGGGCTTCACCTGCAGATCTCCTGTGGGTTCCGCTGGGTCAGCCAGGGTACTGTTCTCTCTCTGAGACGTAGAAAGTGAATGACATCCCCCTACACGAGAGCTCTCTGGGGAGCTCACACCACGTTCCACTGAAGCCTGAGCCATGCAACCACTCAATCAGCCCAACACCATCAGGGTGGCCCCTGACCTGAGCTACCGGGCAGCCCTTCCCAGGGAGCTCGTGTGATTGGCGAACGTCAGGAACCACGAGGTCTTCAGTTGTGAGATGGAACAACTTACGTACCCAGCAACAGGCAATCTCATGGGCCTGCTGACCAGCCTGTAGGAAAGCAGTGCCAGGAGTCCAGACCAGCAACCCCAACAGGCGCAAAGGCAGAGGAAAGAAAGCAGAGCCTCTGGCCACAGGGAAGCCTGCGTTCCAGGCAGGAGTGGCTCATCCACGGCTTCCCACCTGACTCTTGCATCTCCTCTCTGTCTCTCTCTCTGTGTCTGTCACCCACCCCAGCTCCCCCTCTCTCCCTCTCTCTCCCCCACCTCTCTCTCTCTCCCCCATCTCGCTCCCTCTCTCTCCCCCACCTCTCTCTCTCTCCCTCTCTCTCTGTCTCTCTCTCTCCCCATCTCTCTCCCTCTCTCTCCCCTATCTCTCTCTCCCCCCCACCCCAGCTCCCTCTTGCTCTCCCTCTCTCTCCCCACCTCTCTCTCCCTCTCTCTCTCTGTCTCTCTCTCCCCATCTCTCTCCATCTCTCTCCCCCATCTCTCTCTCCCTCTCTCTCTCTGTCTCTCCCCCATCTCTCTCCCTCTCTTCCCTATCTCTCTCCCTCTCCCCACCCCCACTCTTTCTGCCTGCCACTCTCCCCCAGGGAGCCTGTGTCCTCCCTTCGTTCTTGGGTCAGGTTTCGGGCTGCCACGTGGTAACTGATGCTACCGCTGGTTAGCCTGGTGTTAAGTGGCAGGAGTGAAGTTTCAGTGAAAACAAATAGCACTCACGGGTCTGACCTTTCCTCCCCAAGCTTTTGTCATGGTCGCCTCCGGGATGTGCAGTTCAAACCTGTGTGAGCCAGTTGTGTCTACGTGTGCCCTCCCTGCTCCCAACGTGCGATGCCAGCCACATTGTCTCCTTGTCACTTCTGGCTCGCTGACAGCCCCGTGGCAGGTGGGGGCTCTGTTTCCCACCCAAGCCTGGGGTCTGAGAGATGGCCGTGCGTGGCCTGAGCCTGCCAGGATTCCATGGGGAGACTGACATTCAGGAAATAAGAGTGTGTCTCTGTGTGACAGCACACAAGTCCAAATACCGCCTCCAAGCTGTGCACAACTCCAGCGTCCTGTTCCACCCCCCAATAGCAGACATCAGCCACAGCCTTGTGACGTCCAACATTCCCCCAATAAGCCTACATCGGGACTATGGCTGCCTTTACATTTTGTAGATCCTCCCTCAGGACTACAAAACAAATTTCCCAGGGCTGGGAGGGACGTCAGGTGACAGCTCTCAGTGGTCCATCCTCTGCAGATGCCACCTTTGGCTGAAGGGCATCACCTTGCCCAAGATCACTCCCTTGCATGTGACAGCCAGCATCAAAGGAGTGATTGACAGGTCAAGAGTGTCATGGTCTCATCCTCCAGCTCTAACTCAGCATAAACATGTAGACCCCTGAGGGATGAGAGAGGCACTGCCCACTCCTGCATCTGCCCCCAGTGGTGGCAGGAGTGCACCCTAACAGATATACAGCAGGCTCATCCCTCCCCCAGAGCCCACCTCCTGGAAGTCCAGGGGGTGGGATTTGGGGGCTGGATCGCCCACAGCCAAGCCACCAATGAGGAGCACAGCACATAGCCCCTGGCACACAGTAGCAGTGGAAATGGTAAAAACTTTTTCCCCAGAGTGAACCAGGGTGTACCACGGGCAGGAAATGCGTGAGCCCTGAGCTAAGCCTCAGCGGTTGGAGAAATGCAAATTGGTATGAGTAATGATAAAAATCAGTGGGACCACACGGCTGCTACTGGGAGCCATTGATGCTCCAGAGACAAGGAAAGGCTGTGCGGACATTCAACAGGAAGTAAGTGCCACATGTGAAAGGCAAGACGCCTCCTGGCCAGCACAGGAAGTGACTCTCTCACTTGTATTCAACAGGGAGGAAAAGCTAAGGGTGGGCCCAGAACTCGGTCATGAAATCATCAGAGCTCCACAGGATTGTCGCCCTGACCCAGGCAGTGAGCCACGGCTCAGGCGGAGCTCCCACGAGGGGCGATGCACTCGGAGCTGCTGTAGCACCGTCCCACGGCTGCGTGGCTCGAGTCGCAGACATCCATCACTCACCTCCCTGGAGGCCTCAAGTCTGAGGTCGAGATTTATCCATCCGGGTCCTCCCGAGGAACAGACCCCACATACAGAGATGAGCAAAGGGAAATGTATGGCGGGAACTGGCTCACGGGACACGGGGACTGAGAAGCCCCGTGCTCCGCTGTCTACAAGCTGCAGACTCAGGATGGTCGGAGGTGTCCTTAGTCCAAGGCTGAGGGCCCGAGGACCGCATGGAGGTAGGGGTGTAAGTGCACAGTCTGAGGCCTGAGATGTCCACAGCAGGAGAAGATGGATGCCCCCCCACACACGCAAGGAGAGAGGCAACTCACCCCCCTCCAGCATTGTGTCCTATTCTGACTCCCGCAGATTGGAGGTGCTTGCCACACTGGGTAAAACCCAGTCTCCCTGATTCGGTCTACTAACTGAATGCTAGCCTCTTCCAGACACACCCAGAAGTCATGTGCTACCAGCTCTCCGGACATCCCCTAAGCAGGCCAAGCTGACACAAGATTGATCATCGCCCAAGGTGCAGGCAGGGTTGCTTCTCTCTGTGATCCCTCTCCTTGGCTTGAGGATGGCCACCTTCTCCCTGTGTCTTTGCGTGATGGCGCTTGCCGTGGTGCATTGGGCCTCACTCTATTTTTTTTTTTTTGGACAGGCAGAGTGGACAGTGAGAGAGAGAGACAGAAAGGTCTTCCTTTTCCATTGGTTCACCCCCCAGTGGCCGCTGCGGCTGGCGCGCTGCAGCCGGCACACAACGCTGATCCAAAGCCAGGAGCCAGGTGCTTCTCCTGGTCTCCCATGCAGGTGCAGGGCCCAAGGACTTGGGCCATCCTCCACTGCACTCCCAGGCCATAGCAGAGAGCTGGACCAGAAGAGGGGCAACCGGGACAGAATCCGGCGCTGGGACTAGAACCTGGTATGCTGGTACCGCAGGCGGAGGATTAGCCTTGTGAGCTGTAGCGCCGGCCAGGGCCTCACTCTAGTGAACTCACTTTCCCTGATTTACCTCTGCAAAGACCCTATTTCCAAAGGCAGTCACATTCTGAGGGCTGGGGTGTCCACATATGCCTTTAAGGGGAGACCCAGACCCCACTATGGGAACCAGGAGTTGGTATGAGTGTGCTGATGGGATGGTTCCTGGAAGCTTGGAGCAAGCAATAGCCACACTCAGTGAAGCAGGAACGCCAGAACTGCCATGACAGACCGTGGGGGAGGAATCCAAAGACTAGGCAAGTGAATAAGCACCTTGGACACGCCACATAGGACCAGGAGCTGTTCTGTGGGGGGATCCAAAGGAATGAGAAATGTGCTGGTAGGGGTCACCATCGGCCCTGGAAGCTCAGCAGGTGTCAGGAGGCAGAGCTGAGAGCAGGGGACAGCGATAAGGGGAGGACAGGATCCTTAAATAATAGAGACCAGGATAATCATCCCAAGTGTCCTCTCGGGGTCATCCAGGTGCAGATAGGAGGTGATGGCCAGGGAACAGCCTGCATGTGAAGTCTGGCAGAGTAGCAACCACAGAGTTGCTAGAGCTCTCCCATAAAAAGAATCAATGATGATGAGCAGGACGCTGAAGACCTACTGCCTGTAAAAAAAAAAAAAAAAAAAAAAAAACAAGATCCTTAGCTCAATTTCCAGACCTGAGTGAATTTTTAGACTGTAAATGATTAACGCTGACACGCAGAGACCTCCCTCCCGTCACATGCCACTACCTCCCAGGTAATAAGTAGCATCGAGGCCCAGGTCTGGCTCATCGTAGGCGCAGAGGGTGAGTGAACTCATGCCACGGTCACACATTGTATGATGTGAACGGACGTACTTGAGAGTCACAACACTGGGGGGTAAGAGGGCCGAGGGGAATCTTCTTAAAGCACCCCCTTTCCACCAAGATAATAAATCAACACCAATTTCACACCTTGGGGTGCGAGTACAGGGAGGCTGGGAATGTACACAGCCTGGAGCTTCCCCTGTCCCATCCCCAGTGAATCCACCTGGTCCCTGAAGAAACCATCTGGGTCCTGGAAGACGACAGACTCTCACAGACTTACACAAGTCGCCACCCCGGCTGGTCCTGAAGCTTTCTTGCCAGATGCTGCTCCTTCACTAGGGCACAGGCTCAGGTACCTGGAATGCAGCCTTTGATGTGTGGACTCCGTTCTTTTCATCTCTATCAAAAAGGAGGATCAGAAACCACTCGTATTTGCTCAGAACAGGCAACAGTATTCGCTTTGAGCGGTGACCCAGGGCTGTGTTAACTCTCCCCTCTCTGTCATAATACCTGGGCCAGCCCGCCCTCTGCACAACATCACTCTCGTGATGACATCTTGCAAACCAGAGCCGATGAGCAACAGTGGCGAGTGAGCTGGGGCCCTCAGAAGTCAGACTTACACAGTCAGAAGTGGGAATTCATCTTGATGAAGATGCAGAGGCTGGCCACATCAATACACTCTTAAAAGTTCAGGATCTGAGGCATGCTGAGGCACCTCAGTGAGGGCAAATTACTGTGTCCTGCCTCTTCTAAAACAAGGAACGTAACACAAAACCCAACAGGCTTCTTTGGGTTCTAAGACATCAGTTGAGAGTGTATCACTCAGACCCATATAACGACATTTATGGAAGGCCATAGTTCTTAAAGTGAACAAAAACAGGCAAAGGGTGCAGAACACCCAGGCTGCAGGGCAAGTGACCCTACAGCTTGGCTAAGAGACCCAGTAGCCCCTGTGGTAGCAAAAGTATCAGTAATGAAAAAAGACACCACGTGGAGTTTTTGGCAATCTACATTTGGAAAACCAAAGACTTACAGTTCTGGAGAAACACCGCCAAAAACAGCAAAGAACTCTATGACTTTAGAAAAATAGCTCCTAGCATGCTTTTGGCCCTGAAAGAGATGGAATACAGGGTCGTGGTCACTATATACCCAACCATTCATGATGAGCTCATTCCATCACACACTCAAAGCTGTACATTTGGGCAGACCAGCAGCACCTATTGTAAAATGCATATGGTGTGCCTTTGTCCTTTTGGCAGCTATAATAAAATAGGTGAGACTGCGTAACTTATAAAGGACAGAAATTTACCTTTCACATGAAGGGAGGAGCCCTCATGGCTTAATCATATCTTAAAGCCCCCCCTTCACACCATCACATGGGTCATTATGTTCCAACACCTGAATTTTGGTGACGAAACATTCAACCACAGCAGGGTACTTCCAGATCAAGGTCCAAGCAAGCCTGCTGGTAGTCCCGAGCCTGCTGGTAGTCCCGAGCCCCAGGTTCACCCCAGTGTCACATCAGTGCCTCTTTTCAGCTCCTATCTGTAGTAGCCAAAGCCTTATAACCACCTGATGGGGGAGGGGAAAAGTCCCAGCTTGATTTACCCATGGGTCATCTGAGTCTAAAGGTACAAGCCAAGAATAGCCAATGGCCGCAACATGACATCATTCAGATGTGGCCTTGAAAGACAGTGGTGAGACATCCTCCCTGTGGACTGAGTTTCGGCTGATGAGGCACACTCTCCTAGAAGGGGAACTGGACATGGCACGTGTGCAGATATGGTCACTTTCTTACACTTCGATTGGACTTGGTTAGACGGCAGCATTCATGGGGTCTATGTCAGTGACCTCCATACCTTCCTGAAAGTAGGAATCACTGAGAAGCTTTTGACGATTACAGATCTCTAAGTCCCACCCAAGATTCCTGAAATAAGCAACACAGAAACCCCTGTCTTAAATAAGATCCTTAGGTGATTCTAATATCACGAATCCATGCACCGGTGTTTAGGAATCATTTTTCCTATGTGATTAACAATGCTTTAATGAAGAGTAAAATACTAATAATTAATGCAAGCATGCATAACACTGTGCTTATATAAATAAATATATATATACATATATGACTCAAAAGCAGCCCATGAAGCATGTTATTACTTCCTTCCTACGGATGACCCCCAAGGTCATGCAGCTGGGGAATGAATGATGGAGGAAGTGTCTGGATTCAAGTCTGCCCATAGAGCCCTGATGCCATAGTGGGAAAGGTATTCAAGAAAAGAAAATCCACAGTGCAACAAGCGTGCCCAGCTGGTAAGGCCAGTTTCGGTATTTACCTAAAATGTAGACAAATTATTTTTCCAAATAATTTAACTTCTGTGTCAAAAATCCATTTACAATAGCCTACGAGCACCATCTAGTGGCTAAATCTGGCTGCTTGTATACTGAGCATTGAGATTAAACAGAATCAGCTCAGAAGAATAGAAAAGTTGTTATTAAATTTGGTAGACACAAGTTCCCAATTCCAGAAGGATGGCTATTTAGCTTCCAGAAAAAAAAAAATGTTTTAAACAGTGAGAGTGTAAAAAGAAGGGAAAAGTGGCCAGCATTGTGGCTTAGTAAGTTAATCCATCACCTGCAGCACCGGCATCCTGGATGGGCACTGGTTTGAGTCCCGACTTCTCCACTTCCCATCCAGCTCCCTGGACCTGGGGAAGCAGTGGAAGATGGCCCAGGTGCTTGGGCTCCTGCACCAACATGGGAGACCCAGAAGAAGCTGCTGGCTCTTGGCTTCGTCCTGGCCCAGCTCTGGCTATTGCAGCCATTTGAGGAATGAACCAGCAATTGAAGATCTCTCTCTGTCTCTTCCTCCCTCTCTATAACTCTGGCTTTCAAATATATAAAATAAGAAAAAGGAGAGAAAAGATCAAAACAAGTGAAGTTAATAATAGAGATAAGAATGATATTGTATTAGAGTTTTCTTAAATGAAAAAACAATGGAAAAAAACACGGAAGAGGAAAGGCCATCTGGCATGTCACTTTGAAGTTTATATTCTTTATAATTAATTGATTACAGGATCCACTCAAAGCGTTTCACGACTGCTCTTCTTTTTTGGGAGTTATGCTAATTCAGCACCCTCCTGCTGTCCAGGTATTAAGACACTGTCTTCCCCCACCTCTCTCCCACAAGACCTCATAGCCACCTGATGAGAATATCCTGGGGCTGAGGCACCCACTGTTGTACCTTCCCTGATGTCTGTGAGATCATTTTCTCTCGAATCTATTGAACCCAGATATGCAGAGCCAGGGCAAGGCAGGCTCAGCGACGGGCAGTGTCGGTGTTGAATATGTACAAGGGGAAGCAGGGAGCAAGGCCGTGAGCCTGGATCACACAGCAGCCCTAGGCATCACAACTCAGAGCCAGAGCCTGGAGGCAGAAGGGGTTTCCACAAGCAGGGCCGGCCTCCAGCGCGGAGGAGGTGGCAGCTCCTCACGGCATCAGGAGTCATCCCATGAATTCTTAAAGCTCCTACGTGCCTCAAGCAGAAGACAACTAGCTCTGCAGTGGAATTTAGACACGGGTAGACTTCCAAAACGTGACACTGAGGACAGAACAGGCTCCGTGTCGTGTGGCGCCACCTACTTGGATTATCCAGAATAGCTACAGAAGGAATGAAGCTTGGTGGCAGGGGAGGAGAATGGCATGAGACTGCTTATGGAGTCCAGGACCTTCCCTTGGAGTGCTGGAAACATTTCACACCAGACAGGGGTGTAGGTCACACAAATTGTGAATGCACAGAACCCTACTGAATTGTTCACTTTAATGGGGTTAATTTTGTGTCACCTGAACTTCATCTCAATATAAAAATACATATGAACATCTTTTGCTGGATAATCCTAGAGACATTGCAAATGGAAAATCCCAACTCTCAGGATTTTAGTTTTAAATATTGCCATGGTTGATGTTGGGGCTTGACTGTGTCTAAGATGAAAATTAACGTGGGGTGGCATTGATTTGGGGCAACAAAGGGAACTGAGGGCTCCTGTTAACACCAGCCTCAAGCGTGCATGCACTTCAACTCCTACACGGGGCTGTTCTGCCCATACCCCTCCCCGCACCTCCCACCCCCAGTACTTGCAGACCTGGTGGACAGGGCGGAACCGCTATTTCTGGAACAAAATTCACCAGCCTCTGCACTCATGTGTGAAAACATTCCTCTGGCTTCCTGAGACCATTCAATCTGCTTCCTACAAGGCAGCTTGACCCCTCCTGCCCAAGTCTCAAGCCCTGACAAGCAGTGCACGTGGTTAACAGCCCCTCTTGCAGTTGGGGTTACAAAGCCAACCACCACACTGCAAAACCCTGGAACATATTTTCAAGTCTATGGGAGTTTTGTGCCTCCCGGATGGCAATCTTGATATGCCACGAATTCATGTAACTCTTCTTTGTTCTCAACTAGGTGGGCTTTAACCTGGTCAGCCATGGGAAGAAGGGACATCCAAGTAGCTGGTGAGGGCTTAGTTATCCTCAGGGCTTCAGGAAGATGCTGAAAGGGAAAGCCAAGAGTGTGACCTTTGAGCAGAGTGACTGGGCTGCTCCCCGGTGCTTCGGCAAGGGTGTTTCCAGCTGAGACTGGCATTTGAGTTGCTGGGCTGAATGGGGACGCCCCAGCCTCCATGTGAGTCACATGACCCAACTGGCTCGGGCTTGATGGAATAAAAAGGTAGAGGCAGGATAAACCGGAGCTGCGATGCCCTTGGTCTCCTGCTGTTGGCCACCAGCGCTCCAGCATCTCTGGACTTTGGACTCTGGTACTCAACACGGCAACCCCCTGAGCTCTCACACCTCCAACCTTGCATGGAGAATTGTGCCATTGGCTTCCTTGGTTCTCAGGCCTTTGGACTTGGACAGAGCCAAGTTACCAGGTTTCCTGTGTCTCCAGATTACAGGTGGCCAATTGTGTGACATTCTGACAAATGAGCCAATTCTCCTAGTTAATCTCTCTCTCTCTCTCTCTCTCTCTCTCTCTCCCCCTCTCTCTCATATAAATATCCCATCCTTTCTGTCTCTCTGGAAGACCCAGACTAAAGCAAATATTTGCTGAGAATTATTTATAAGATTTAGCTAGAGACCTCAAGCCACTCTCCACAGTGAGAAGGTTGTTAGAGCCTTCTGTGCAAACAGGATTTGAAAGTGAGAAGAGGAGAAGAATAACAGCCAGGCTTCCGGGTAGGGAAAAGAGAGCTTGTTTTGTTTGTTTGTTTGTTTGTTTTTGTTTTTGTTTGTTTTGTTTTGTTTTTTTGCAGCAAAGACATTAGAAGAAGCCACTAGAAACCAAGCTATTTGGCTTGATAGAGGGTCTACTTTCAGGTATCTGAGGTGGGTTTCCTGACACAAATGGAGAGGGTGTGGCCCTCTCTCTGGAATGTCCCCAGCTCCAGTTCTGTGATCCTGGGGCACAAGAAACCTGAATCAGGGAGAGTCCAGGGCCTCATCTGCAGACCTTTCTCGGAAGCATCAGAAGAGAATCAGCATTGGCCGACAAGCACACATTCCAAACACACACCCGCTTAATGAAAACCACACACACACACACACAGACACAGACACACACACCCACACACACACACAAGCTAGAAATGTGTTCCACCTGCCTGGGACAGTGGGGGAAGCAGATGGAAAAGGCCCTGGGGGACTTTGTTCTGAATTCTCGACATCTTAGGGGGAATTGAGTTTCTCCAAAATAAGATCTTTCTGTTTACAAACATGCTGTTTTTGCCAGAGAGAATTCTTTATTTTAGGTACTTTGGGAAAACTGCAGAGTCTTCGGGTTTGGGGCCAAAGACGCCCAAATGTTGCAATCCTAAACCTTTGACAGTGACAAAAACATGTTTGCAAGTGGAAAGTTTTCAGCGCGGGGCTTCTCGCGTTGTTTTGTTTGGGTGCGTGTTTGCTGGCTTGCTTGGAGCCAAAGGATTTCCTCCACATCTTCCCAGAACCAGCGAGTGGGGGTCGGGGCTCTGCTCAGGATGCTGGCCCCGAATCACCTGTACCCCTCTGTGGACTGCCTGTATGGTTTAAGGCCAAAACACTCAATGGCCTTCGAGCTAAGAGA